CTGTTTCTTTTTTTCTTCTTTCTCCTCGTCGGATTCCAACATCGCTTGAATCAGAGAGACGACAAGAGAAAGAGAGAGAGAGAGAGACTTCATTGATGGCTTCCACCGTCGAAGGAGGAGATGTTGACAGTTGCGATGGCCTCTTTATGTTACCATCGGCTCTCCTGGAGACAATCATGACGAAACTCGACGTGGCCTCTCTCTGCTCGTTGGCCTCAACTTGCAAAACACTCAAAAGCTGCGTCACTCGTGTCCTCACTTTCACTCCCAACTTCCACGTCTTCGTGAGTCTCTCTCCCTACTTCTACTCATCTGATTGCTTGTTTAATTATGATTTATTTATAGTAATAAAGTTTTGATTCTTTTTTTTGGGGTTTCAGAATGTTTCACTGTCAATGGAAACTGTTAGGCCGTTGCTGTTTCCTAATCAGCAACTCTCGAGCCTTAAGCTTGACTGTGGACGCCTTGGGAACTCAGCTATTGATATACTGGCACGTCCTTCTCTTAGAGAGATCTCTCTTCACAACTGTCGTGACTTCAGTGGAGATCTCATCTCTGAAATTGGAAGAAAATGCAAGGATCTAAGGTGTGTATTTATTGATGCATCTTTATTTTTAAGAATCTTTTCAATGTTCTAAATATAGCTAGGTGGTGGTTAAGCGTTTTATAGAGGATTATTGTTTAGGCAGACGCTTAGGCCGACCGATTGTTTAACAAATTGGTTTGATAGCTCATAGCCGATTTGTGGACTGCCTAAACCGATTTTTAGAGCACTGATATTTCCTCCCACTCTTGTTCTGACTAAATGGTCATACCTTGTTAGGCTCCTCTGTTTGGGCTCTGTGGCAGAGAAAGTTGGTCGAACCGTTACACGTGCTGCTTTGGAAGATTTGCTGAATGGTTGCTCCCATTTAGAGGTTTGTATCCTCATTAATAATCTGACTTGACTTTATTATATCTCTACCATTAATTGTCTGTGTTTATGTTGTCATAACAGGTCTTAGCACTCATGTTTGACCTTTCCTTATATCTACGCCCTGGTGATGGTCGCATTTTCGGATTGGTCTCTGATAAACTCACCCATCTTGAGCTTGGACACATCTCCTCAAGGATGATGACTCAGCTACTCACACCAACTGAAACTTCGTCTACATCACTCCAAAACGTCCAGCAGTTGCGCCTCTCTGTTGATTGCATTACCGATGCTGTTGTCAAGGCAATATCTAAATCTCTTACGTCGCTGATAGATTTGGATCTGAGAGATGCGCCTCTTGAGGATCCAAGGCAACTATCAGACCTCACGGACTACGGCCTCCAGGAGATCAACCAAAACGGTAAGCTGAAGCATCTCTCTCTGATCCGTAGCCAGGAGTTTCACACTACTTACTTCCGCCGAGTTAGTGATCAAGGGATGCTGTTTCTTGCTGACAAATGCTTGGGGATGGAGAGCATTTGTCTTGGTGGGTTTTGTCGTGTGACGGACGCTGGTTTCAAGACTATTCTGCACTCTTGTGCTAGCCTCTCCAAGTTTAGTATATACCATGGACCTAAACTAACCGATCTTGTTTTCCATGACGTCTTAGCAACTACTCTTTCGCTTACTCACGTTAGCTTGAGGAGATGCCATCTTCTTACGGATCATGCGATTCAGAAGCTGGCGTCAAATCTTAAGCTGGAGAATCTTGATTTAAGAGGGTGTAGAAACATAAGGGATGAAGCGTTACAAGCCATCTCACATCTACCGAAACTGAAGGTTTTGCTTCTTGATGGCACTGATGTAAGTGACACAGGGCTTTCTTATCTCAAAGAAGGAGTTTGGGATTCTCTAGTCTCATTATCTGTTAGAGGCTGCAGAAACTTAACAGACAAATTCATGACTACTTTGTTTGATGGATCCTCAAAGCTAGCTCTCCGTGAGCTCGACTTGTCTAATCTTCCGAACCTGACAGATGCTGCTGTTTTTGCTCTTGCAAAATCCGGAGCTCCAATCACAAAGCTCCAGCTAAGAGAATGCAGACTGATAGGGGATCCTTCAGTCATGGCTCTTGCATCTACACGTGTTTACAAAGACGAATGTCCTGGAAGCAGCTTGTGTGTGTTGGATCTTTACGACTGTGATGGCATAACTCAGCTCTCATTCAAATGGCTAAAGAAACCGTTCTTCCCAAGGCTCAAATGGTTAGGGATCACCGGAAGTGTGAACAGAGATATTGTAGATGCTTTGGCGAGGAGGCGACCTCATTTGAAGGTATCTTGCCGCGGAGAAGAGCTTGGAAACGATGGGGAAGATGACTGGGACTCTGCGGACATACAGCAGCACATGGAAGCAGAGGAAGATGAGCTTGAACAGTGGATTCTTGGAGATGAAAGTGATGTTGAGATGGAGGATGCAGAAGACGAGAGTGATGAAGGAATTGAACAAGAAGAAGAAGACTGATGATACTGAAACTATACTTATCTACTACTTCGGTTAACAGGTATGCAATCTTGTATTCTCATAAGCTATAGGTGTAACAGCAATTCTCGAAGAGAATTTCTCTTCATATTTATCCACTTGCCATGTAGTGTTCTTTTCTGAATTATTGTTGTTGTGCTAATAATCGCATCTTTCTTAAACTTTTGTTATTGGTTATCTGAATAAAGATAGTGCAAATAGTTTTTATGCTAAAACTTAAAAGTTCAGATATGAGATAGTATAAATGAATTTATTGAAGTTACTACTAGGTGGCGTTGCGTCTATGACTAAACTAACTTAGTTAATGAAGGCTGGTTGTGTTAAATAGTGTATATATGAAGCACGTGGATTTGTTTGTCCCATCCATAACATACCAGCTACCTAGTACTTGTTTAGTGTAGGAATTGGTACCATGAAAGTTAATCAGTCTATTGCTTGTGTCTAGACTTATATAACTTGATTGATTCTAATCATGAATACTCTATATAAGATCTTAATACTCCAAACACAATGTCCTTGCTCATAGATTCTTACTACATCTTTGATTAACTTGTTTAGTTACCTTGTTTATTTTAGCACTTAGATACTACTCTATATTACTTTGATTGCACTTAGATTAAAAAATGATATCAATTCTCTTTGATTAATTTCACTTCCCATCATCACCAGAACTCCAGTCATTGGAAATATCCAAACAGTGGTTCCCTATCGCAATGTTAATAACATCTGACTAAGAAACAAAAATGACAAGTTTAAACATGTAAGCTATAGTGAATGGCTGTGGATTATGGAGATTAAGAAAATAAGTGTCCACAGTAAACTATGTTTAAAAGTGGAATCATATCAACAAAGCAAGTGAATAAGCGCCATTCGTTTTGAAATTTATTTGGGAAAAAAAATTATTTGGGAAAGTGCAGAGTAGTACAATGATAAAAAGTGAGAGCCAACTCACCAGAAAATGGGATTCTTTACGAGGTCAAATGAGACAAGAAAAAAGCTTGTGGCTTACAGAAGAATAAGAAGGGAGATCTCATGTATGGAGAAAAGGGATGAAAGTAGCTCCTAAGACAGAAATGCATAAATGTGTTATAACTTATAACACACTTTGAAAATGCCTTTTCATGAATAAAAATAGAGAAAGATAACATCGAGAATAAAATGGAAAGACCTAAGCGTAGTTTAGTTAATTCAAAGGCAGATATGACTATATACATGTTAAAGTGTGCCTCAAGTTATGTGTCTTTTTGTATAATTACACTTCTATAAAGTCTCTAAATGTAATTATTTCTTAGTTAATTTGATATTCAGTTTTTAGTTTTATTAAATAACTAGTGGTGTGTCTGCGCTACGCACAGATTGTTTACCATTTCTATTATCCATCCATATTTATTTTTCTATTTGAAACATATGTTATGTATTTATTATCTTTGCGTTTGCGTCTGTATTGTAAGTGTTTAGTGCGTTTGTGTTTTAGAGGTGTAGATATTCGCATGATGGATACATCTATAGTTTTCCTCTTGAGTTTACTATTCTGTTGTATTAACATTTACCTTATGTAATATAACATTGTTGGGAATAAGAAGAAAGACAAAAGAGTGTTATCATGTGTTAACTCTGTGTGTGCTAAAGTGCATACTTTATTTTCTTTTGGACGGACTTTCATGACGGTTGATGTTGAATTAGACCTTTGGGAGAAAGAGGTTAGTTGTACGGGCCAACTATAGCATCGACTTTGAATCTTGGTTTTGTTAGTGGCTTAAACCATCACTTTAGGATGTGTTAATTGCTTAGTATATTGTGGTTGAGATTCTACATGAGATATGTGTAAGCTTATTCCTTAGTACCTTAATAGTAATGGCTGATTAATGTTTGTTTGTGTACTTTTAACATTGGCGTCGAAGAAATAGGAGAGGCGTGTATTTGTCTCTTAATCAACCGTTACCGTTTTAAGAAAAATAAATGCAATTTTTCCGAAGAAGGGTTTAACTCATGGAAAGTTCACCGTAAACAGTTGACAAATAAATTTACTTTGCTTAAATCAAATGTCCTCAAACTCACATGTTAAGTCACTCAAATGCACTGTGTTTATGGTTTCACTGAAGCTATTCGGTGTTAAGGTATTTTAATGCTTTAAACTTGTTTAGAGAGCTGGAAAAATTTTATATAATGTAATGTCAAAAATGTAAGTCTCTTCTGTAATATATTGGTTTACCATTTTACACTGTACCTTTTTGAGCTATTAATATGATATGCTAATTAAAAGATTTGAACAATAGTGAATATTTTATTTCCAACATTTATTAAATTGTAGCTTACTTGCATTTCCTACAGCTTGCATTTTAACAATGATAGATTATGCACTTACGGGGATAGCATAAGAAAATGTTTATATATTCACTTGATTGAAAATTATGATTATTTCGAGATACTATTATTTGTTTTTTATGTGTTAAAACAAAGAGAAAGCCTTATTTCAAAAAATAAAATTAAAAAAAAAACAAAGAGAAAGCCTTATAACAAAGAAGAAGCCATGTGAAGAAATAAGTTTGCAATAACAACTCGAAAGTGACGCTAAAATACTTTTAGAAAGAGCGAATGTAGTGGAAGGGTTCCTTTTACATGTTCTGCGCCCCTTCTTTCCACTCTCATTTGGATCAAGTATCAGACTGCTTGCTGCAGGATGAACGATTGCTGGTCCAACATATAAGGATGGTTGATGGTTGTCATTTCTTCTCTCTCTAACTTTTGGTGTCACACCACCCGCTACCTCTGCAACAGCGTTTTGGTAACTAGAAGAACCCTTTAATGCTACTGGTTTCTCTTCAGGCTTATCATCATCAGAACCATGGTTATCTTCCTGAGTATATTGCAGTAACAAACTTGGAAATATAATATTCATGAAGCCCTATATTTTAAATCAGTAAAAAGATACCAACATGTATGACAAATTTTGGGAGTTGTGCACACTGTTGCTCAGTAACGATACGGGAAATGGTGTAATGTTTGGAAGTGAAGTTGAACTCTCCTAGCTTGAGCTGGAAAGTGTACGTTTGCCCACAATAACAGTGAAAAATTGGGGGAGTTTGTTGTCTACGTGAGCTTTCACATCTGCACCATGCAATCATGGAGACATTTTATCTACAAAACTAAACATGAAAGTTAGAGCATATTAAAATTTCCATATCCATTATATGTATTAGAGTTACTTACTTTTCAAAAATTTCTTGATCAACAGCAGTTTCAGAGTCAAAGTAAATATGTATTCCGCAAGTGCCATTGAGAAATAACCGGCCTGCATGATGGTAAGTTAGTTTATAGAGTGATATGTTGGTCTGAGAACACTATAAATCCTATGAACTCGGATAAATTTGTGTGTTTTTGCTGGAGACATTACAAATTATCAGAATCTCACCTCCACCTTGGGATTGATGCTAGTGACCAACACAACTTTTGACTCAGACCCGTAGCTTTCAAATTTGTTATAAAAATACAGAAGCTAAGCCATTGAATAGACTAACACACACATTCACATTCCTGTAAAGTAGCAATGAAATTAAAAAAAAATTGGAGAATACGACAACATACAAAGTAGTAAGAGATGTAGAACACTGGATTTTAAACTGTAAAGGCTACCTTTCTATCCGTAGAGTCAGTATTACACACTGTGTCCCGTCGTTAATTGTGCTCTTGATTACACAAAGCTCACCAAGAATTTCTTGTAAATTTTAAGGTATAGGTTAGTAAATACAGTGGAAAGATTCTTGTTCGCAAGATTGCATATAGAAATAAGGTCAGTAAATACAGTGAAGGATTCTTATTAGGAAGATTGTATATAGAAGTAAAGATTACCAGGTAGCTCTTTTTTGGTATCAGCTTACGCCAACAGCTGGTCGTGAGTGTGGAACCGGAAGAAATGAGATCTACTATCTAACTGGTTATGATTATTTTTTTCTAAATATGCAAAATAAAACGAAAGAAAAAACAAAAAAAAATCAAACACAATGGACAAACTATGGAGATGAACATAGTAAAATATGCTCTTTATTAAAATCTAAAACTAAAAGAAATACAACTGTCAAATATTCACGTATACTAATGAGATTATACTATCTAAATGATTTGAATGATTTCTTTGAATATGCATAAAACAGAAAATCAAACACGACGGACCCATATGCAGACAAACAATGGAGACAAGCAGAGAAAACTATGCTTCTTATGTTGTTAAGAAAAACTGAAATAAACACAACCTTCAAAGATTAAAAAAGAGGTGTGTAATATAGAATGTCTAGTTAAGCAATCCATAATGGAAGATGGTGGTTCTTCACAGTAGTTACCTGCCCGTCCATGAGAAGCATGGCAACCCATGAGTTGGCCGCCTTTCTTAACAGTCTGAGAAGCATGGCAACCCATGAGTTTGCCGCCTTTCTTGACAATCTGAGTAGACCAGCGGTTATGAACAACAACCAGAGTAACCAAATTCAACATTGACGGATTTGGTTATTAGCAGAGACTGTTCTTCGAGGTTTCATAGAGGTTGTGTTGTTCATCACAGGGAGCTTGGAGTTGGACATTACAGAGAGCTTATCGGATGCGTCTTCATATGAATCTCTCGGCAGATGAAGATGATGAAACCCTAGCCTTTTTTGGGCCTGTACTAAACTTGGTTAAAGAACCCAAAAGTCAACACATTACACATATATGGCTAAAGTGAAGACATAACATGAAGGCCCAAACAGAAAAAAAACCACAATCACTCGTAAGTTTAACATTTTTGACATGCCACGTGGCAAAAATTGCCCTATGCTCAAAAATGATGTGGCAGCATGAGAAGAGACTAAACTCAAATTTATTATATAAGATATGGCTAAACTGAAGACATAACATGAAGGCCCACACAGAAAAAAACACAATCACTCGTAAGTTTAACATTTTTGACATGCCACGTGGCAATTTGCCCTATGCTCAAAAATGATGTGGCAGCATGAGAAGGGACTAAACTCAAGTTCATTATATAAGATAGTTGATCCATCGCGTACTTTTAGTTAAATCAATGCAAATAAAGTTGGCATGTGTAAAAGTCAATTTTGGTTTGAACTTAGATGAATCAAGTTGTTCTGTAAAAACTCACCTACATTTTGATGTAAATTTTAGCTAAGTTTTGAAGACGCAAATTGTTGATCCATCTGGATGTTGCATTAAACTGCAAAACTAACATCGATTTGCAGATTTAGTCAGATGGATCACCTAGATGAACAAATAAAGAACAACTATGTAGTGTTAGTGATCATTCGCAGCTGGAAAGGATCATTGGGCGCATGCTTTAGCAAACAGAGCCGGACTTGGACACATTACTTTGAAACATTTGTATGGGGTCACCACTTTGTGGGGTGATATCACTCAAATTACCCTAAGGAGTGAATTACTCTCATCAAAAGAGGTTCAATTGTAGTACTTAGGGATCGAATCCACAGAGACTCTAGGATTACACAACAGATTATTTAGTCTTTGAAATAAAGCTAGATAGCAAGTTTTAAACAGTAACTTAGAAGATGAGCAAGTAATTGCTCGATTGATTGGTTGGTTTGTTGAGAGGAAAGAGAGTACTTAGACTTAGGTATTTTCTCAGGTATGACAAACATGCAAGTTATAAAGGGTTTTTATTGTTCATAGTTCAGGATTCAAACTTTTAAGGTTTTAAATCTAAAGGATTAACTTCCACTAGCCTCAGGTCAACAACTATCGTTCGATGACCGCGAGAAAGTATCGATGGATGTTCAATAGAATTATCGATCGATGACTCTTTGCTATATCGGTCGACAAGATGATTATCTCGTCGAGCGATATTGCTTCCAGCGAGCTATAGTAACAAGTTTGGAACGGTTCTCTAGTCTTCATTAAATTTACTTAGCTTTCAGGTAATTGCCAAGTTCTCACTTGTCCATATTGATCCTAGAATCAAAGATAAGGGTGATCAATCCTCATCATTAGCATTTATGATGACTAGATGAAGAACTATATTTTAAACACCCTAGTAATGGTCCATTCATTGCAAGAGTCAACCTTAATGAGAAACCTAAATCTAACAAGAGAGACTACTCAAACATATTTATGAAAGACAAAGTCATAATGGTTTGAATAATGCTTTAAAGATAGTAATAGCAAGAGAAACAGTAAAGAAATAAGTAAAGCAAAAGAGTTCAAGATCTTCTCTGGGTTTGTAGTTCAGATCTCTCTCTCTACTCCTAAGCTCTTCTCAAAGTATAGCTAGATGCTTCTCCCCAAATTAGGTCTAAAAAGATCTATCTAGATAAGTCTGTCTAAACTGGTACAAAAACCTCATAATATAGCCTAATAGGCGGCCATGGACTTAAAGTGTAATTATTAAAACTCTTGTGAAGCAATTAGGGCTTCTAATCTTTATTTAATCACTCGTAGGACTTCTGTATCGATCGATGGTGAATGCCTTCAATCGATCGATATGGGTAATGTTTATCGGTCTATTGTTCTCAACGTACGTCGGTCGATATCTTTAACATCGTTTTGCTCATATCTTCATAAAATCTCCATTTTAGCTCCATAATGGCTAATTTACACCAAATGAGTACCTGAACCTGTAAAATCTTTAAAAAGACATTAGAAATATCCTTTTGTTTTCAAAAACATATATAAATCATGGTTGAAAGTGGGTAAAATCCATGACATATCATGGGGTTCCAATTTTTTCAACATATATATATGTTTGTAATGGTTCGGCTGAAATATGGATAGTTACTTTGGCAAAAAAAAAAAAAGTAAAGATAATTACCATGCACGTGACTTCACATTTTTCTTCCTTTTGCTAACTTTTTTTTAAACTAAGAGCAGGTGCAACACAGGTTGTTAATGTGGTCCTTAGGACAATTCCTTAGGTTTTGGGAAATAAAAACACATTAAACTAATCGCATGCGCTAAGGAGTAATCCTTAAGTAAGGGATTTAAGGATTAAGTCTTTAATGCGCTGGCAGTCTCTGATTGGTCCGGGTTTAGGTTAGTCTTAAGTTAGCGATCGAAAAAAATCATTCTCGCGAGCAAACCAAAAAAAAAAAAAGTACTCGAGGCGATCTGCGATTCGACTTCGACGAAGGTAAATCCGATCTTTCTTGTTCTTTTTCTCCCTTTACGATTTATGCATGCTGTTTTCATCAGTTTTAAGGGTTCGATTGTGGGGTGTGAGTAGATAGATTTAGGGTTTGAAATCGATTTGGGGATTTTCATTCGATTTAGGGTTTTTGTCTAGGTTTCCTATTTCTTGTTTTAGATTCCGTTCTTTGTTGTTTTCGTCGAGATTAAAAGTTGTGGATTGAGTTGAAAATCGATTTATGACTTTCGTCTGGATTTGAAATTTTTTTGTTTCTTTTAGAAAGAAATTCGTCTGTGTTTGATTATTTGTTGATTTCATCAGTTTTAAGGGTTGGATTGTGGGGTGTAAATAGATTTAGGGTTTCAAATAGAATTGGGGATTTGCATCGAATGGTTACAATCCAGTTTGGTGAGTGAGTTTAGGAGAGTTTCTAGACTTTTATACAGTTACAAGTTGATGTGTAATAGGTTGTTTGTAATAGAAGACGATGGATCTGCTTCTTCTTCATCTTCTCGACATATATTGAATCTAAAATTGTTTGTCTTCTTGCAGGTTCTGAAATGGAGGAGGAACAGCGACATAAGAAAGCACACAAAACATACTACGACATGCTTCATTTCTTTACAGATGCGCAACAGGAGATTCCTAAATTGTGCCCTTATGGATCAATCACAAAGGAAATTGTAGATGAAGAGGACACATATGACTACCTCCCTGCAAAAAGATACTTCATCTGCAAAGACTTCGAGGTGTGAAGTGCTCTTGACTTAAATAAAACTTATAAGCCATCTTGTTCTTCCATATTTTTTTGCTGCTTGACAAATTTTATTTGTTTTCGCAGAATGACGGCCTGCATTTTATTGGTTATGGGTGTGCAACAATGGGTTGAAAGGCTCAAACTACGAGTTCATGAGCATGACAACCTTCTGAGAGAGTGCGAGGCACTTAAGGTGAGTTTAAATCTTATTAGTATCGTAAATTTATTTGTTTGTATTATTTTCTAACCTATTGTTTGGTTATTATGATGTCTGTCCAGGCACAGGTGAGCATACTGCTTAGGCGTGTGTCTGAACTTGAGAGAGTCCCGTGAGGTTAGTGTTTAAACTCTTTAACTCTCTACTTGTTTTTGAATTATAAACTAGGTTGAAAACAATTAGTTTGCGGTTTGTACTCTTTAAAAATTAAAAAAGTATGCAGAAAATTGTTAGAACTCTTTCACTCTCTAACTCTGTACTTGTTTTTGAATTATACACAAAGTTGAAAACAATTAGTTTGCGGTTTGTACTTAAAAATTAAAAAACTATGCAGAAATTTGTTAGAATTCTTTCACTCTCTAACTCTCTACTTGATTTTGAATTATAAACAAGGCTGAAAACACTTAGTTAATCCGCAACTTTTTAGGTTGAAAAAAATTACTTTGCGGTTTGTACTTTCCAACTTTGTAGTTATAAATGCTTACAAAACTACCACTAAATTTACCCTAACTACTGCTTACAAACTAAAACTTCATTAAATTGCCTAAAGCTATTCTGTTATGACTCGTATCTACGAGTATTGAATGGCTTTGAATATATACTCATATCTACACCGTCTGTAGTAGAGAATCACAAAACCTAAATGGCAAGCTCCTCTAGTTTTGTAAACCTTTTAGCGAGCCAAGGGTCAGTTGACCTTAACTCATTAGAACTTCCTTCGTTTAGTAGCCAATGTCCTGATGAGTCTAGTGTCAAAGAGAGGCGAAAATGGTCTGTTAAAGAGGATATAATCCTCATAGGTGCTTGTTTCAACACCAGCAAAGATTCAATAGTAAGTAATGATCAAAAAACTGGTGCCTTCTGGAAGAGGATTGTAGAGTACTACAACTCCAGTCCTCTCCTGGTTGGGACAGTGCCAAGAGAACTCGGACAATGCAAGCAAAGATGGGCTAGGATCAATGATTTGGTATGTAAGTTTGCTGGCTGCTACGAGATGGCACTGAGGGAGCAGAGAAGCGGGTAAAATGACAATGACGTGATGAAGGTTGCCCTGGAGATCTTCAGCAACGACCAGAAGATGAAGTTCAACTTGGAACACGTGTGGAGGGAGCTTAGGCATGATGTCAAATGATGCTCCACGTATCTTGAGAAGGACAAGGAAAAGCGCAAAGGAGTTGATTCTCTTGGAGTTGCCAATTCAGCGCCAGAAGAGAGACCAATAGGGGTTAAGGCTGCAAATGATTCTAAGAAGAAGAAGAAAACTGGAAAAGAAGAAGAATTGGCGAAGCTTGAGGGACTATTGGAGATGAAAAGGAAAATCTCAAAGCAAAGTTTGCTTGAAAAGCCGAGCCACTCTCTGAGATGGAGTTAGCTTTGAAAATGAAGCTTATGTCTGAAATGTTGTGATGTTAGTCAGTTGGTTAGCTATAACTTTAGCCGTATTTGGATTAGTATTTTGCATATATTTTTGTTCTCACTTACTCATATCTGATTCTATGTTTCAGGTACAGTAGAAGACATGTGATCGATGAAGACAAAAGATGGTGTCCCTTCCTTGCTCACTCACGGGTTCTTTGTTGCTTTTGCTTTTGGTTGCTTTTGTTGCTTCAGTCACGGGTTTATGTTGCTTTTGTTGCTTCTGTCACGGGTTTAAGTTGTCTTTTGTTGCCTTTATAAGGCAGTTTGTAATCTCGGCTAAGAGCTATTCCTTTTGCTCTTCTTGTACTGAAAACATGTATCGCTTCTTGTTGTAATTTTCCATTTGCTTTTCTTGTACTCAAGACTGAATCACATTTCTTTCAAGGTGAAGTATGTATAAGTTTATGTTTTTGCTTTGCTTTGTTTATGTTTATGTCTGAGCGGAAAGATTAACAATGTGTTCTTCTCGTTGGAGACATAACAAAGTCTCTATCTATTTCATGTTCATTTCATTATTTATTAGTTTTTTTCAGTTTGAGATCTGATTATGCTCTACAATCTCAAACTGTTTTCCGAGTGGTGAAAATGATGAAATACATGCAACGTTATAACACAGTTTTACGTGTCATTAAGATTTAGTTGTGTGCTTTTCTCAAAAAAGAAAAAGATTTAGTTGTGTTCTTACCTTGTATCAGCGTGTGTAGAATATTTAGTTTCTAATCTTTTGTATCCCATCAATATTTTCATTGTACACAATTATTTAAAATACAATTCTTTTCGGCGTTTGAAAAAAATTAAAAAATAATTCTAAAATTTAAAGATTGTTCGGACCAATCCAACAATTTATTTTTTCAGAAAAAATGATCGTATATTACTAAAACTTAAAGATTTTTTTCAGTCTTATTATGTTAAACTAGTACTAATTTTGTAATACCCCAAATAATTTGAATATGCATAAATCTTATTCTGATTTTTTTTTTTGAAACATTTTGAAGGAATGATTGACAAATATGGCAGATGAAGTCGATCGAAGATTAAATGCGGCTTTGGATGAAGCTTTAGATGAATATTTTGAAGAAACATACAATAATATCGTGGAGAATCAATCAAATAAATAGAGGAGACGTACATGTGTCGAACGAAACCGTGAAGATGACCATAACCGGCTATGAAATGACTACTTCTGTGAAGATCCGATATTTCCAGCTCATTTATTCAGACGCCGTTTCCGCATGAACAAGGAAGTATTCATGCGTATTTTCGATCGCCTCTATGGAAATGTTCCATTTTTTCAACAAAGGAGAGATGTTGTTGGAAGGTTAGGTCCATCTGCACTACAGAAGTGTACAACAGCTCTCCGTATGCTTGCTTATGGCTGTGCGTCTGACGCGTTGACGAATATCTCCAACTTGGTGAAAACACAGCACTCTCGTGTTTAAGCAATTTCACAGAAAGCGTAATACAGTGATTTGGAGATGAGTATCTACGAAGACCAATTCCAAAGGATCTTCAACGACTACTCAATGTCGAAGAGATACGCGGTTTTCCTAGGATGATAGGAAGCATCGACTGTATGCATTGGGAGTGGAAAAATTACCCAACCGCTTGGAAATGACAGTACACACGTGGGTCAGGAAAGCCTACAATTGTCCTGGAGGCTGTAGCTTTACAAGATCTTTGGATATGACACGCTTTTTGTGGTCCTCTAGGTACGTTAAATGATATTAACGTCCTCGATCAGTCTTCTGTTTTTGATGATATTTTACAAGGTCGAGCTCCAAGGGTACAGTACGTGGTCAATGGACACCAGTATGATTTGGCGTACTACCTCACGGACGGCATATATCCCAAATGGTCAACATTTATCCAATCTATCTCACTCCCTCAAGGCCCTAAAGCTGAGTTATTTGCGAAAGTTCAAGAAGCAACCCGAAAAGATGTGGAACGTTCTTTTAGAGTATTGCAAGCCCGATTTACGATAGTGAAAAAAACGGCAATTTTGTGAGACAAGAGACAAATAGGAATGGTTATGCGAACATATATCATACTGCATAATATGATAGTAAAAAATGAATGCAATAGATACACTCAGTATGATACATCCGAATTTGAAGAAGGAGACTCGAGTAGAAGTTCACAGGTGGATATTTCATATTCTACCGACATGCCTTCAAATCTCGATAATATGCTTGGCGTATAGAATCATGTTCGTGATTGGCGTATACATGAACAACTGAAATATGATTTGATCGAAAATATTTGGAACAAGTTTGGTAATGATGAAGATGTTTAATTATTGTATGTTTACATTTAATCTTTCAATAAATAAAATTTTTAAACTTAAATGTTTTATAAATTTTTTTTAAAAAAACTCTATAAACTCCATAACGGATAACACCATTGGAGGACCATTTGTAATTAGAATCTTTAACTATTAAAAAAACAATTATTTTATTCCTAATGACTCCAGTGGTGGATAACACCATTTGAAGTGCTCTAAGGTCACTTTGTTTATACGACCGATTGAAAGTTTGGTGTTTCACTATAGTCTATATGTATACCTCTTATTTTTTTTGTCAAGTTGAACTTTAATTGAATAGTACCAAAATGCATACACCATTTTACTTAGTATGATTTAGAGATATTAATAGTATAGTATAAACTATAAGATTTAAATTGTTCATAAATCATTAAAAGAAATTATATACTGTAGGTTTGTATTTTTTATTTTGAATGGGACCCCACGTAACTTAGGTTCGGCTCTGTTAGCAAATACAATGATCAGTTCTAAGACGAGCACTATTTGGTTTTAACCAAGTAGTGGAGTGACTGAACTTGGAAATAAATGATTTCATAAGCTAGTATGATGTATCATTTGTTTGAATATAGCAACATATAAATATATCTTTCGCCATATGATATAGATATATAGATTGATAGTCCTCTTCTCTTTTATACTTGATGACTTCTTACATGCTATACTAGTACTTTTCTGTTTATATACTTGATAAGCTCCTGTAATCACACTTCCTCCCCTGAGGTGTTATTGATTGCTCTGTTTAGTGGTGAAGGAGGAACATCTTTTATCATTAGGCTCTGCAAGAAACCAATCATCTGCGCATGGATGAACATTTTGGTCCATCATAATTCGTAGACAATCAAATCGAAGTACTTGTTAAGGAGGAAATGACCATACCGAAGACAAAGCAGTGCATAGAAGGGTGAATCCAGGGAAATAGAACGGTGCATCGTTGGATAGAAACAAGGCTATATATATATATGAAACGAAAATTCAAAATACTAAATGAACTTTGTAGAAATATGTTTCTACTGCACGAACCTGTCAATGGACTAAATACAAATGGTGCCACCACTTTTCCAAGGGACTTCACTCCAGATATGCATCCTTGCACCTTCCCCTTCACCAAGTCAAACATTAGTTCGCGTTTGTGAAGGATTACCTATTATACAACATTCAATCTTTTACCTGCTGACCGGGTCCGACTTGTTTTGAGGCAATACCACAAACCTGTAGTCAAAATTGTTCAATTTCTATTAAGCAGCAAAAGCACCGTAGTTTAGAACAACTGAACGGTGTGAAATTACTGATGGCATCACAACTATAGCTCCGGGTACAAACACCGTGGCCAGGTAAGGAACCTGCGACATTAGAGACAAAACAAAACAAAATAAAAATCATATGGAGATTGAACATTGAGTCAAGTCCCTAGTTCCTACCAACTCACCCATGGTGCCCAAGAAATGCTGACAATGGCCATCTGCATTACAAACACATGCAACAGTTATTTACAGTGTCATCATTAGAAACTAAATCAAGAAAACAAAAAATGCTCACGTTTACGAATTCCATTAAAAGCCCTGTTGATAAAAGCTTGTGTTCTCCAATGGCAGAAGCAAATCTTGGCAATATAAACAGCTGAGAGAGAAATATTTAGCAATGCCTAACTTGCAAACATTACTCAGATATTAAAAGTATAAAGGCTATGTTTACACAATATTATCTAAGACATAATATCACTCGTAATTTAATAACCTGAGTGATAGACCCAATTATAGTAACCAACAACATGAGATCAGCAAACTGGTTCTTGTCAAATCCAAAACGTGCTTTCAGAAAATACTGCATACATAAAAAGCATACTTTTTTGTTCATATTAAATTATACCAAAAAGAGAGACTATGTACGTAAAAGCATATAATATGAGGTATACCAAGAAAGCGGACTGCATTCCACTATCTGAGAAACTGCTGAAGAATGTAACAACCAATGCTTGAACGAATATGGTACTGCATTATAGAATCCATATCCATCATTATGTTTAGAAGGATATATTAGATATACATATTACATATATAAAGGCATACTAAATATACCTAGTCTTCATCAAGAAGATCATATCTTTCATTGAAGATTGCTTCTTGTTAAAGGCACTTGTTTTAATGGTTGTGTCGATCAGAAGCGGCTCTGCTAACATCGTAACATCATTACTCTCGTGGTCATCTTGACGATGATCAGTATCTTCATCATCATTTAGCCTTTCCTTTAGGAAAACTCTCATATACACCAGGCCAAGGAGGAATGAGGTAGCTGAAACCTTAAAAACCCAAGCTATAGGTAGAAAACGAGCAACTAATGTTCCGCAAAGTGCAGAGATCGTTTTGATACCAGCTAAAATGCTAAAAGCTGATATTCTTGTTCCGCCATGAATATTTTCTGCCTAGAAATGAAAAACAAATGAAGTAGATGATACAAATGTTTAATGTTTTATCCTAGCAGAATATGTTACAAAATTAAGTTAATATACATTATAAATTTAAAAATAAATCATAGTGGAAAAGGATAAAACTTACAACATATGCAAAGGCGAGGCAGTCAACGGCGCCTTCACATACCAAAGCGGTCAGAATCTTAACTGTATAAAAGAGATAGAAGAAATGTGTGTCCCTTCTGTACCCTAGAATTACTGCCAAAAATACTTTTCAGTCTTATATTCTTTGTTTTCTTTTATCATAGCCGAAAATATTTCAAGAAATGATAACTATCAAAATTGCTATGTGATACTAATACAATTTTCTTTGGGTTTATTAACACACACAAAAGTTTTCCTTGAGTTATTATAATAAAGCAGCGTTATAAGTTTTGTATCATCTACTTCATTTGTTTTTCATTTCTAGGCAGAAAATATTCATGGCGGAACAAGAATATCAGCTTTTTTTTTTGAGAAAAAAACAAACTAATGGTCCAGTTGGTTTTGGTTTTATTAAAAAAAAGGGTGATGCATCATGCATGGTCCAATTTTATCTTTTCTTTTTAATTAAAGAAAAGGGTGATGATCCAAACTAAAGTATGCTTGTTGGGTCACTGTGGTCTCCAAACACCGACCCGTTAGCCTTCAACAATCAGAATCAGGAAATGGAAGCTGACGTTGCTTTATAAGATCACATTCATGAAGTCTCTTCCGCATTATCGAGGGATCAAACTCGAGCCTGCAGCTCCTCGCTTACTTGGCATGGGCATGCAAGTCAAACCCCAATCCGAGGTCAAATGGAAATACTATTAATTATTTTATTTACATATAAATGACTGTTCTTCACATCTTGTATTCAAACTATTTTTTTTATAATAAGTACATTAAATATGAGTTGGCATCGTTTTCAAAATTCGATTTTAAAACCATATGCAGTGAAATTCATTTTGAATTTACAATCAAAGTTAGTTCTAGGAGTGAGAAAGTTAGCAAGGAAATAGATAGGTTTTAAAAAAGTAAAAAAATAGGTCATTTTGGAAAAATGTTTTAAAAATTCTAGATTATAGGTATAATTTATAAACTTGTAACTTCCGAAAAGATAAACCACTATATATTACCCACTAAACTAAAAAATATATTTCAAAATTAAAGGCTAAAAATTTATCTATAAAGTCAGTGTTCACAAGCATATGAGTTTACTCTCCTTGAAGTGGAATTTATGGATTATCAAATGGACAATATAATTAACAAAATTAAAAGAAATAAATAAGAAGGAAATAAGTTAAAAATCTGAAGAATAAATATGCATTTTTCTTTGAATAATCATTTTCAGAATGAGGAGTAATAAAAAATATTAATGTATTTTTAAATTAATTAAAATAAAACATATTTTTAAAAATAATACTAAAAATATTCAAATAATCAATTACAATATTAAATTATTTAATAAATAAAATTAATTAATGATTTCGTTTCTTCATTGTTTCTTTTCATTTTAATGACAGATATATTGTTTCAGTAACTATTTTGGAGGACTAGATTTAGAAGAATGTTGAGAGAATATATCTACATATTTATAAATTAATTTCTCCTAAATGGTATTCAATTTAAGTTAATTTTAGATAAAATTGCGATAAATTGATTTTTCTCCAGCTGTGCTGTCATTAAAGTATTGGAAGAAGAGTGATGATGAATAGGCAATGCACTTGTCGTTGTAGTGGGAAAATCTTTTTTTCTTTCACGCGTTACTTTCCTAATATAATACATAATCACAGTCTTTGAATCGTGTACTTTTATATTGAAAATTGATAGCATGTTCTATTTTTGTGTCTTTTTGTTATTGTGAAACATAAGAAAATAAAATAAGAGAGAGAGAGAGGAAACGGACCAGGAGGAAGAATGGAGAGACACATGGGAAGAGTGAGAATTGCTTTGGTTCCATATTTGTCTGCTAGATTCCCAATTACTGGCATCATTACCATTGTTCCCAACCCTATTGCCTTCATTTATAGTACCCATTATCACATCAGTACACGTAAAACTGTTGTTTTAATAGTTTTGAACATTAGTTTTGAAAAATGTGGTCCGCACAAACTGAACTATATGGTCTTTGTAAGCCCTTTATCAAAAAAAAAAAACTACAGTATATGGTCTTTGTATTAGGAAAACCCCAAAACTTTAAACCAAGTCAGAGAAATAATAAAACTAATAAAACTCTCTGTTTTCGATAACCTTCCAAATTAAATAGTAAAATTTCTTAGAGCCTTAACATTAAAGTCGTAACAAAATAAACTGAACTATCTGTCCTACTTACCACTGATTTTTGAGAATGTAGAAAATTATAACTTTTTTTAAGAAACAAGAGTATTTTAATACTTCTCTATTTTTAAAGTTGTTTTGACTAAAACACGATATTAAAATATTTATTTTATATTTAATTTAAATAAATATTATATTATTATTGGCATTTAATACTAGAAGAAGAATAACTAATAATAAATCAATTAAACAAATTACTGATGATTTTAATTAATTATGGTTTAGTTAATGAAAATTTTGTTTAATTAACACATTATTTCGAAGACCAATAGAAATTTTTCCTTATAAATCATTTGCTTCGAAAAACGAAATTTGTTTATCTGATTAATAGTTTCTCATTGTCAAGTTTAGAGACATCAGAAAGAGATAGAGAGGGAGAAACGGAAGCATATATGACATGTTAAGTTTAAGCAAAGACTTTAACAACAACAAAAACGAAAAAAAGAAAAACAAAATCTTTAGCAGTGATCAAGATAGCCAGATTAAAGAGAAAGTAATATATGTAAGCAAAGATGTGTACCACTTGTTGGAAACCGGTGAGGTAGACGGCGAGAGAACATAACTCGTCGGGTCCGGAGCAAACGGCGGTGACAGTAACGTCAGTAATCACGGGTACTTCCATGAATCCGGCAAAACCAGAAAGGAACACAGTCGCCAATATGTGCCTCAGCCCTACGAATCCATCTTCCATCATCACCAGTAAACTAAGCAAAGTGTTTGGAGATTGATTTCGATTTTGCCAAAAAGGAAAAAAAAAAGCTTAACATTATTATTATCGAAGAGAGCATATGTTTTCAATTTTCACTAGTCGGCAGATACTTTTCAGTGTATTCATTATGTCAACAATTCGATTGAAGCATGCACATATAATATTGTTGAGGACATTTTGGTACTTTGCGGACTCCATCAGTTAGTCACATGTACATTTATGTTCCTCATTACTAGTTATGTACATGTTTTAATAACTATGACCGATGTGCAGTTTATAGTGCCCGTTTTAATCAGCTTTTTAAAAATATAACATTTTTATTCTAATTAAACTCTATCTAATCTATTAAAACTGAAGTACAATTAGAACTTAACCCTAATTTTTTCTAAATATTTACAAGAGATTGCCACTAACATTAAAACAAATCCTAAGGCCTAATAATAACTAAATCAGTTATAGATATTCCGTTTAATATAACATGCCTTATTTGTAGACACCTCATTAAATATTTTAATAAGACATATTTATCAAGCATATTGGTTTTATCTTCTACCTATATATTGCAATTCTCGATATGATCTCACCGTAGAAATAGACAATAGTTCAACAAAATATTCTTTAGAGTATTAATCTATTCCTTAATATTTATTACTACTATAATAAACAGAACTTTACAAACCCATGTAACAATTTTAAAAAATATATTAAATAAAAATGGTTTTTAAATATGTTCTTCATGCGTATTTATATAACTATATCTATATGTCAATGCAACAGTTAGATAAATAAATAAAATGATCAATTCTAATTGACAGTTAAGTAAATAAAAAAAATTACTCATATAAAGAAAAACTTTGGTGTATAAATTAATCCATTCGGTTTTGGTGTGGGTCTATTCAGGTTTTCGAGTTTTCGGAGTCAAAGATTTCAATCCCGTTCAGATATTTATAAATTTTGGTTTGGGGTTTGGTTCGGATCTTTGCAGGTTTGGCTCGGGTTCGGATAATCCATTTAAATTATTTAAAATTTGTAAAATTTCTTATGCACTTTAAATTTCTCAAAATCTATAAACAAAATAATATATTTCATATAAATTTGAATAACATATGTTAAATATCTAAAACTAACATATAAATTGGTTTAGTTTGAATATTTGGATAGAGAGTCAATAGATATTTTAAGTATTTTTAGTGTTTTGAGTATACTTTAGCTATTTTAGACATTTACTTTTGACTACTTATATATATTTTTAAATATTTTTGATAGTTTAAATGTATCTTATATATTTTGGATGTTTTAATATATATTTAATCTAAAAATAATTAATATATTCATGTATATTAAATTATATTTTGTATACATTTGGGTACCCATAATATTTCGATTCCAATCGGGTTCGGTTCTCTAAAATACCAAAATTTAAACTCATTGGGATATTTAATCAATTTCGATTTGGTTTAGAACTACTTATTTGGATCGGATTCGGTTTGGTTCTTCGAATTTCAATTATTTGCCCAGCCCTATATGAATGTTATATTAAGCAAATATTTAATACAGATAAATGTAAAAAAAAAAGATAATCTACCAAAAACTATAGAAAATATTGACATATACACACACATATATATATATATATAACTATAAAAATAAACACCCGCACGGGCGTGCGGGTCAAACTCTAGTTTTAGAGTAAAACAGAATGGAGTTAGAGATGCTATTAAGTAGTGGCAACCAAATAAACCAATTTATAGTGTTAAGTTGTCACTAATGAATACATAAAGTAAAGTATATATGATTGTTGTGAAATTTGTGTTGCTAATTTGTAAAATTTGTTTTAATTATCTGTTCCAAAATCTGCTTAGTACTAATTTCATAAACCTTTGTCGTTGGACAAATAACCAAAAAATGTGAAGTTTTGCTACTACTTTACTATGACAGATTCTTGTTTTAAGATTTAATAGGTGCATTAGAAAATTCATTACATTCTCATAGATATCGCAGCATATATATACAAACAGTTTTTATATATAGCTTCACGAACTATTATGTTCATATTTTAAAAAAAAAAACTGTTGACTTGTTAAGCTTCCTCGTTGGAAGCGCTGCTAATTGTTTTGTACTGACGAAGAGGAACATCTTTGATCAGAAGACTCTGAAGGAATCCAATCATCTGTGCATGTAAGACAGATGTTTCTGATCACGCATAACTAATACATTTACAATCAACAACGATTTTGTGGATGAGATGGTCAAAAATGTAAAACATACCAAACATAAGGCGTTGAATAGAAGACTGAATCCAGGGAAATAGAACGGTGCATTGTCAGAGAGAAACAATGCTATATCATACCCAAATCATTGACTTGTTAGAGGTCTTCATTCGAACTTAGTAATGAATTGTATCAAAATTCTACTTATCTGTTCACGTACCTGTCAGTGGACTATATACAAATGGAGCCACGACTTCTGCAAATGATTTGACCGCATATATGCATCCATGGACCTTCCCCTGGAAGGACATGGAAATATCAAACGAATACCATCTAGAAGCTGTGTAAATTTAACAAGATAGTTTGTGAGAAAGATAAGAGATTTATGTGAGATCTTTTTAGTTTTAATGTCTTATGTGTATTTTTTCATTCAAATGAAAGCATACAGGATATGTAAAACTCATGCACCATGTATATTTACTTTACCAACTGTGACAGTACTATTAAAATGGAATTTATATTCTACAGCAACAAAATCACGTTATCATGTTTGTATTACATTTTTGGATGCCAGGGTTTTAATGCGTCTACATACTAAAATTAAAAGGCAAATCTAGAATAATTAATCGTTTTGTGGATTACTATGTTACATGTCAAACTTATATATGTGGAGTGGTGCTTCCTGTAAGCTCTAGTGACGAAGATTTGATTTAGAAGAAGTTGGTATTACTTATTTGATTGTGTCTTCGGTTTGATAAGTGTCGTACTATATGACGCGGGTTAACCCTGAAATGACCTAAAAGGATCCATTGTAACGACTAGAGAAGATTACGCCAGGGAGATTGTGATTTCCATATTTGTTAATCTTTACAAAGAGCATCGATGTTTTTAAGAGATTTGAGGCTTGGTCAAAGCAGGAATTTGATATTTTTAGCATCATCGATGAATGGGCTATAAACTAAGCAGCACAGAGGAATTGTTCATATACTCTAGACTTGATATCCTCTAATGTAAGGCTTGGTTTATGGCAAATTTTCAAAATTAAAATCAGGTAGATCCTATGAGTAGCATAGAGCAGGAAATTCTAACCTTTTTCTATCGAACATACAGTCTGTGGATAACTGAGGATACTAGGTGCAAGTTAACTCGTAGGAACGATCTACATGGTCTACAAGTGAAACACTACGGTATTTCATCACTTTATATGGAACTTCATTGTTTAATTTGGACTAGGCATTACTTGAAGAAGAGTAACCATGCTGCTATACTCAGTGACGAAATATGCATGTTTAGTTAAAATGGCCTAAAGGCTGAAGGACTAGTCCGCCTTAGGATCTCGTCCAGTGGTAAATTTTCAAAATTTTCAAACAGGTTTATGAACTAAAAACACAATGGAAATCTGGGTTTCTTGCCTCGCAAGCATGTTCCAGTAATCGAGTTTTTCATTTGTATCCATTTGTGTAGTGTATAGGTTGACTGCATATGCATGCCTTTGTTTAGATAACCAATTAATAACGGAAGTAAGCCCGGGAAAAAAGTATCCGGATCCAAAGTTTGGAACTGCACCTATCCTGAATTATTTTTCTGTTTTATTAATCAAATTTGAGATGATCTGGTAATCCATATCAGACTATAATAACTAACAAAAACTAAATTTCTGATTAAATATAATTATCTGATATGTACATAAAGTTAACTTTCTATATCCTAAGAACCGGATAAGAATGAATAGAAAAATATGAATACCCAAAAATATCCAAAGTATAAATATTCACTTAAGAATTGTTATACTAATATTTATATTTATCAAAATACTCTAAATTACAATTATAAATATGGTTATATTCATTATTTTGGATAATTGGATATTTTGACTATTTCAATTTTTTTCAAATTTCAAATATTCCTAGATATGTTTGGATATAGAAATCAGGTTCCAAACTGGATTCAAACTTCAACTAAAAAAGTTGGATCTTTAAACAAACATCCAAACTGAATCTAAACTCAGCCCAATCCAAATAAAAAATCCTACCAGTACAAAAATCTCTAAGACCGATATAAGTTTCCACCAAATTGTAAAACTAAGTTTCTCGTTAAAACCCAAAACTTTGGGTTTTCTGTAAAAAAAAAAAAAAATCAAAAAGAATTTTAAATATATTTATTTAGATACTATAATCAATTTATTATTAAGTATAAAAATATGTCCTTTTTAGTTTTTTTTTAGTTACATGTATTAAAATGCTCTTATAAAATAAAATAAATACCTAATAACTTAGCTCTAGATGTTGCATGTGAATGCGAATTCTAACTATAAAATGAACAACAACTGGACGCAGCATATAGATGTTGTATTCAGACACTACATCATCTAAACATGGCATTAATCAATAGACCAAGTTGATTCTTGTTATGTTTGTTTCTCTCTTTTCTTATGCAAAGATTTTTTTTGCTTTCTTCTTCTTCTT